ATCTACAGTGATTTAGGCTGATTAGTAAATACCCTTGCCCTAGTTCGATATGACTACGACTAATTAAAAAAAAGAAAAAAATTATTTTCAAATACCTGAGTGAACGAGGAAGAAATTTCTGTTTTGCAAATCTTTTATTGACTATATATCAGCCGAAGCCTACTAAGAAGAAGATATTTTTTTAAATATTTCCTAAGCAAGATAAGACTTGCGAGCTGTAAATTACCATTCAAGAACGAAGTGAATGAACGAATTTTGATTTTTTTTTTTTTCCACATAATTCATTTTTTAATAGTCAATTACAAACATCGCTGGAATTCCCGTCTTCGATATCGAGAAAAGTCGAACATATTTTTCACTTTTGAGATCACTTGTAAATAATAATTAGATGACGACATTCATTAAAGTATAAATTTTTTTTCGACATCAAATGCAAAATCTCGTATGTTCTCTTAACACAAACTGCCATCCGCTAAGATATTCAAAGGAAAAACTATTGTTGCGAAAAGCACATTTTCGGAAAATCTAATAATCGTAGAAAGACTACTAGCTAATCTCATTAACAAAGAAAGTGCTAGAAGTAAATGATTTTTTCAGTAATTCAACCAAGAGCGCATTTCGAAGGTGATGGATATCAGCAGATATATTCACAGTTGCCCACATAAACTTTTCTTAAACAAATCTTAATATTCAATCTAAAAAGCGCCCCGAACACCTTATTGAGACGGCTGCAATCAACAAAGAAAACGTTGATTACTTATCTTAGCTGTGACCCAAAGACTACGTCATCATTTTATTTGTATTGTAATTCTACCTGTATAATGGATGTTCTGAATTCACTCTCTTCTTGCTTAAGTATATTTTTCCTCTACGCTTTACGTCTAGTCACTTTTATTAATAGGGTCATTAAACTGAGATTAGTGTTTGTTTTTCTGTCGAAACACAGGTTTTTCTATTCATTACTTTTCTAATGAACTTTCCGCTCAGTTTTGTCACAAAACGCGATACATGCGGGTGTGTTCTAATCACAAACGTATGCAGCTATAAATTTGTACGTGTGCGCGTGCGTGTGCGTTAATCTCTTTACCTAGCTGAATTTGTACATGTATGCGTTAATTTATTTGCAATTTTATTTTGCAATTTATCGCTTTAGAGAGAACGAAACAGAGAAACGCGAAAAAAAGAATTTAACAAAAAGCACTAATCGATATATGAAGAATGTCAGACACCTAGCAGGGAAATCTAAAGCAAATTTTTCGGATATTAGTTCTAAAAATGCTCGGAATTTTTAGTTGAACTTTTTCCTTAAAACCTGCGCTTACTAAAAATCAACACAATTAGTGAAGTGGAGAAGGAAGATAATAAAAATATTTCTTTGCAATTAACCGGAAAGTATCCTACAGGCGAACTATTGGCAAGTTTTACATATAGTACGAATATACTTCAGTTAGAATTAATCACGTAACCTTCTCTCTTCAGACATTTACCTTCGAAGCATAGAGATTTGGGGTTGTAATTTAGAAGATGTGAAGAGATCTAGTTCTAGTAGCGGATTTTGGACATCTGTTAGGATGCGTTGCCGTGTAAAAACTTCGAACTTAAAGGACTTCTTCCGTTCTTAATATGAAATTGCTAAGTATAACTTAAGTCCAATTGTTCATTTAAGTTCGATATCCATCAAAGTGCCGGCGATGAGTAACTAAATAACTCCTCTACTCAGGATTTCACATTACATCAAAATCCGCTTCCTTGACATGCATTTGAATGCATCTAAAAAGCTTTATACTTGTTGTATACAGCTTGTATAGTATGTGTACCTACCTCAAAGAGACTGTATATATTTCACGCATCCATATAAGATGCAAGATAAAGAACTTAACACTACGCATTCTACAATAAAATCAACAATTAAATGACAGCACGTTTTGTATGACGTTGAAGTGTTTACAATACACGCTTATTGCACCCAACAATAGAAAACAATAACACATGTGCTAGTAAGTTTTGAAAAAATCAATATACAATAGTTCTTTATACTCCGTCATCTAATATCCTACGCTATTGGGAAATATGTTACAAAGAACGTCCACTTAATATCAGTTTTATATGCGGAGTAAGAATCAAAAAAGAGCGTAATAATGTGCCGATTTTGCGATGCAAATATACGCTATATATCCGAAAATCTTTTAATTCAGCAATCGAACTTATTTCCATTCGAAAACGTTCTTAGCATTCCCAAACATTCAAATGCGATAAAAACATTGCGATGCGGCACTGCTGACACGCAAACGCGCTTAATATATTAGGTCCATCAGGTTATGTCCACATCTTTTCTTAACAACAAACATTCGCCAAAGCTAATATAACCTGTAACACAAGCTATAACACAGCTACTATAAATCAAAAATTGGCATACCGTTCACGGTTTCGATACAAAAAACGTTCCTTCATTTTATGATACAAGAAAGAAAAGAAAGAAATAACATCGTAAGTTTTCTCACAGCAATGTCGACTGATGTTAACTGCGGCCGACTTGAGAAAAAACACATAAATAACTTAAAGTGATATCATCTAAACTAAAGAAACTAAAGAATAGTAAGCAATTTATGACAACAACAATATGAAAGCTTTAAAATTGAGATTTTTAGTAATAAATATATAAGAGAAAAAAAATGTGTAATTGAATGTTAGAGAAATGTTTTGTTAGTAAAAACCAGTAACAATATCAATATGAAAAGAAAAAAAAAGAAATTCAATTTTTAAACGATATTTGATTAAAAAATTCTTTTTACCAAGGTGTGAACACTTACGTGGAATGTGGGTTCGAATCCAGGACGGAGAATTTTTTTTTTTTTGTTTTAATGAAAAAAAAATATTTTTATCACGTAAATACTTTTTTTAATTATACATTTACTTTACAATCTATCCAAAACGATAATAAACAAATGTTGTATCGAGATAAAACAAATAGCAGGGATTTTTGACTCTAATGCGGACAATATAACAATATAGATGTGACTTCTAAATCTTTCATGATAACGATAATTTAATAATACTTTTATGGAACTATTACGTTTTCTAAGATATATGGAGTTTTCAGAAAATCAATCAAAATCTTAATTCATTCGTATCCTACACATTTGGACACTTCTTTCAACAATTACGTTTGTTTTTTGGAATATGTATCTTATATAAATAACAAGAAAAAGAAGGTGTCCGTCCCCACCCTATCACTATGTTATTGTCATTCTCATGTACCAAAAGTTTTGTTTCTCTCATTTAGGTTATATGCGGGGATATAAAAAATGCTTTGTATTCACCCGTTATTTTGCGGCCTGTCATAAAGCCATGGTTTAGACACAAATGCAGGAACGGCTCAAGCGAACGATTCGATCTACCTTCTTTGATTAGAGTCTTTTTAACAAATATTTAAAAAACCCTTGCCTTAAAACTTAAGAAGGCGTCAAACTAACTTAGATATTCTGATGGAAAGCTGGGCGACGAACCCGGAACCGTCCAGCTTCATAACAACGCAGCCGACAAGCACCTCTAACTAATTACACCACTCACGGCCTTGCCGGTGATTGTTTATTTGCCCATATTAATCTTTACGAGTCATAGATTCGAAAGTGTTTTTCCTATCTACGAACACAAACAACATTTTCATCCACCATATGTCGAGATGGTAAATGATGCGTTTTTTTTAGTTTTCATAAAAAAAAGAAACGCTTTTAAAGCGCATTGGATTTAATAATAGAAAAACCGTTAATAACCTCTTAAGCAGTGTGAACGGGTACAAATAACACTAATAAAATGAATGAATATGTAACTCTTTTATACAAATTTTTAAAAATAAAAAAGAAAGTCTGGATATAAATAATTGTTTTCCCTGTTCGAAGTTAATGTACTATTACAAATTTTAAACTTTTTTTATCACGTAGAAATTATACGGCAATAAGATTAGAACAGAGAGAAGTGATGTTTTAACAATCTAATTAAACAGCACAATTTGTTCAGATAGGGTTAAACTTTGCATCCCCCCCGTGCCGTTTTTATTTGCTAAGCGTACTCCCTTAACAGATGATATCATCATATGGTATTTTTCTGAATTAATTGTAATTTCAAAAAATTCATTTTCTAAACATATAACTTGCCAAATACAAAAAGCAAATGGTGTGGAAAAAAGTTTCAAACAAAATCATTCGTAGAGCTGTTCAAAGCCAATAAAGCAACTGTATCGAAAATTACAGGTAACACAAAAATAGTCTCAAAATCCAAAAATAAAACCCGTTCACTTTTCCCCCGCGACAACGTTTTGGGAATTGGTGCTTTCTCGTGCAATTGGTGCAAATATTTTTTCACCATTTTCTCATTTAACAGAATTGATTCGACTTTTTTCACCATTTTAACATTTCTTGAAAGCAACTCTGTCCTTTCGCTATTCTCAACACATGGCAAGTTTTTTTTTTAAACGATGTAAAGAAAACTTGCCTATGGCCTAAATCAAGATGATTGTGACCACCTGCAAGATATAATGTAATATAATCATTGAAGCATTAACTAACCTTCAAGCGACACCCGCGCAAGAGATGAGCACTAGTCCATCAATTCATCATACAACAATGTCCAGTGCCGCGCCACTTCCGAAAATATCCATCCCCAAGTTTGATGGTGATTGCAGAAAATGAAGGCAATTTTATGACTTATTCCTCCACATGATCAGCGACCAGCCACATACAAATGAAATGTATATACATATTAATTTACTACTTCTTACCCAATTTGCTTCCAATTCCTTATAGTAATTGCGGATAATTTTATTTATTAACTACTATCGTTGTAAACCGATTTATACAAATATTTTTGTATTGTTATGTATATTTACAAAGGCAATTTGAAAAAAAATTAAAGTATGTGAATTTTATTTTGTAAATTTCTACAATCTGGCATCTCTATATTATTTTTAAGTCAATCAGAAATTTGTTCATATAATTTCTTTTCCTTACAATTCTGCATTTAACAAAAAAATTTTTTCTTCACCGTTTTCATAAAATATTGCTTAAAAAATGAATAACTTCACAAAAGCTGCTGCACGTATCCTTAGAAACACTCCTGTTAAGAATGTTTTAAGTGGAAAGCGTGATTTTGCCCGTACAATTTGGCACCTCTCTAAGAATTCTGGATTTTCGGAACAACAAAATTTTAGTGTATTGCAGCTGCACAACCCAAGTTTAAATTGCAAGTGTGGTTGCGGCCTAAAGCATATGCATACCAAAGGTAAATAAATTTACAATTTATGTAATTTTGGTCACCAAGCCGGCATGTGAAAGCACATCAGATTACATAACCTCAAACGATGGTATTTGTGACATATACCGGTCAATTTTTCCTTTTTCAGCTGAACGTGAATTGGTAGAGTTTTTGACTGAAGAAATATTAGCTGAACGCAAAGCACAAAAGATTAAAACTACTACTAATCAACTAGAGGGATTCTCAATAACATACGACGGAGCCGAAGTAGAATTGAGTAAAAAAGCAGAAAAAGAAAAGTAAGGATCCATAATATGATTTCATATACTCTATGTATAATTGCCTTAATTTTCAGAATTATTATTAATTTTAATGTTAACCATACTGTCGACACGGAAGAAGAGCCGGAAGTTGATCCTACTGCAGATAAGGCAGAAGTGGGAGAAATGCGTAGCAAACCGCGTTTCGAAGTTGATATCATTAAAGGCGACACCACATTATCCTTTACTTGTTCTTACCTAATGGACCCACCACAGGAGGGTGAATATAGTAAGTTGGAGATTTATGCCACGTAAACGTTTTCTAAACACCATTTTTACATCTTCTTAGATGACGTTTTCGGTATTGATGAGCTAACAGTTTTTAAAGGTGAATGGAAAGAGAATATTTATGCCGTATCTGGTGATGTTTTAGATGGCGTAAGTGAAACTTTTGTAAAGTGTTTTCTCATTAAGTTGAAGATTAATTTCATTTTTCAGTATCTTTACGACTTGCTTATGAATCTTTTGGAAGAAAAAGGCATCAGCAGTGAATTTGTCGAAAAAATGGCTGACTTGGCTACCGCTTACGAGCATTCATCTTATATAGCCCTTTTGGAGAATTTATCAAAATTCACCACTGGAAAGTAATTACTTTCCCTTTAGTTAGAAATTTAAGTTCTAAAATTTTGATTTTTAGAAATATTTAGTACGCAGCGCTTTTAGTTTTTATTCATTTTTTAGAAATCTAAATCCTTCGTTTCGTGACATTCTAATCACTTCTTTTTATTTTATTTCATTTTCAATTCAGTGTCGAAGAAAAAGGTTCGAAACCAAAAAGAGATGTCAAATATTTGACTGCATAATAACTTTGACATTTTAAGTCAAAATACATACACATATTGGCATAAATCAAGTATTGAATACAACTCTTTCAGTAAGTTTGAGTTGATTTAAGATTAATTTTCTAATATGTTATGTATTAACATAAAAAGTAAAACCAAAATTTCATGTAAATTATATAAAAAAGAAACAAACATATTATCGAAATTATTTTCAAATTCGTTATCCAAGTTGAGATTGAATTTGTTCTAATAAAACTTGACCATTCATATTATTGTAAATCTCTGCTTCTTTGTCTCCTCACTTTGTCATCATTGTCATCTTCACTTTGAAAAATCTTGAATTTATATTAGTAAGAAAGCTATCATAGTTTTTAATTAAGATTAAAACAGATTAAGTTCTATGCCATTAACGATAAAAAATGCGAACAGTGAAATTGTTTCATAAATTGATTTAACAGACATGTCTATATATGGTAGCTACCTCGATATTCTATCAACGAGTATCTTTTCCGGACTTCACTTTGTGTTCCGACCAATTCCTAATAGATTAATGTGTCTATGCGGCTGCTGTCCCACTGTAATGATCTAAAATAAACAATACCAATAAGTAAGCTTGGACGTATGTACCTAAATGTATGTATATAAAAGACAATTTGACAACAAAGTGATTGGTTCATTTTCTTATACAACAACAATAAAACTTGATTAATATTTGAAATTTTAAAGCAAAATTTACTGTCATTTTTTTGGTTTGGTTGTGAGATAAGGCAAAGGCTGTATATTCTTGAATGCAATCGTTAGAATTTTATAAAGAATACAGGTCAATTTTCAATATAGAAACTGAAAATGGCGACAGGAGTCTGGATTAATATCCGAACCCGTGACCCTTATTATTATTAATATTTAATAAATAACCCTTTTGGTCAAAATAAGTTCCTTTATTGTGACGAATTTAAGCCATCAGAAATATAGTATGCCTCGCTAAAAATTGTTCTGTGGACTTCACGTGGGAAAATCAAATGTATCTACATATTAATTTACTACTTCTTTCCCAATTTGCTTCCAATTTCTTATAGTAATTGCGGATAATTTTATTTATTCACTACTATCGTTGTAAACCGATTTATACAAATAGTTTTATATTGTTATTTACATTTACAAAGACATTTTAAAAATGTCAATTTTATTTTGCAAATTTCTACAATCTGGCATCTCTATATTATTCTTAAGTCAATCAGATATATGTGCATATAATTTCTAGTCAGAATGCGCTTAAGAGAAAATAATGTTGTTTTTTCATACAATTAAATAAATTCAAATTTAATCCAATCACCTGTACGAATATATGTAAAAATTAATAGCAAATCGGTAATATGGACCATGCAACTTTAATACCTATTTGAGTACATACCAATGCCTGGAATGCGGAAAATTTTGCAGAAATCGCCGAGCTATCATCAGGTATTAAAAACATAATGTGGTGTTTCAGACACAGCTGCAACGTGTTGATGCAAGATGTCAAATGGATTGTAAGTCTTAGTCTTTTAACAGCTACTTAATATTCCATACTTACTGAATTATTTATACCTGATTTTTACTAAAATTAGGTATAAAGGTTTTCGCTATACGGAACAAATATCTGAAAGGCAGCGACATTGAGGGATCCAATGTGGACCGTGCTTTTCACCGCCGCAATGTTACTATTAAAAAAACGAATTGTAATACATATATTTTGATAATATTTGATATTTATAATAAAAATAACTTGTTAAACAAATACAGTCTGTGGAATCTTATATATTCGAAAACTTTCGATTTATTTTCGATACATGCAACAACATGACCTGGATGATTTTTTAAACATTCTAGAAATAAGAGAAAATTTCTTAGATTAATGTTGGTCGACTTTGTTCACAAGTCTTCTGTCACATGTGCAGAGGCGAAAAAAAGAAGATGGCCTAATCGCCGTTGATTACGTCTTCAAATGAAGACCAAAGGGGTACACATATATGTGATTTCAACTGCCGGAAGATGATCGCAGCATTTTAGTACAAGAAATGGTTGTGCATGGGTGCCTTGTAATTGTTACAGGCGGATGGGCATGTACTTCTTTACGCTTTGTTTAAATCATAAACCCCAAATATATTAAAATCTATGTATGAAAAGCCGGGCTACATTTCCAGAGGCCAAAAGAGGCATTTTTTATACAAATACATGTTCAATTATTGAGAAGTGTAAACAAACATATACGCTTACTCTCAGAAGTTGGTAATTTACATGCCCATAACTCTTTGGCACTTTAAAAAACTGGTAAATATTTGAATTGTTCAACTACCCTATTTAGATAAAAAAGATAAATTTTAGCTCAAGTAAAGCACATACAGGTTTTTAGTTATTTTTAAACCAATTTGTGGAAATTACTTGCGAGAAATTAAAGCAAGAATTGAAAAATATTGTACATAAATTCGCTTGCTCTCAAAATATTTCAGGACAAATAAGTTCATCAAGGAATTTGCGAAAGTATTTTTCATATTCGTACTAAGTAGACATTTAGATGTTGAAAAAAACGGGGATCGAGGATATAGGATTAAGCATATAAATGCCAGCTTTTATATGTTGAAGTAATATATTTAAAAAAATGTAGTTTTTATATATGTTTTCGAATCGATATGTAACATTTTGTATATTGGTGTCGTTCTGAAAAATCCAAAATTTGTCATATTAGGTCGCCGGTTGGATGTTCTTAATTCAATTCTATGTGATTTCAAGGTATATTTTAAAAGCATTCGAGAGCAAAGATTCCATAAGACGACCACGGCTTTTAGTTTTCAGTAAATGCACTCAAAAAATTTTTTTTAAATTTCTTGGCCTAGGTGGATTCGATTTTCATGTTTTTTTTTTTTTTTTTGTATTGTGGACATTTTGCGTTTTTAGTTTGTTTTTGATAAATATAAAGGTTGGTTGGCTTGATCTTCCATGTCAATTTTTGCTACCGCACTTAAAAATGGATAAATAAGTAAGTATTGGTAAAGGTAAATGTTTTTTTATCTCTTGTATTTAACGGTTGACGTTCCCCACATTTGATCTGAACCTGCCTGTATAACCCTCTTTAACATTTCATTTCATATATCAGGAAATAACCTAAATAACCTAACCTTCGTCTATATATTTGTGTTTGCGATGGTAGCAAAAAAAAAAAAAAATTGAAACTAAACTAATTTTTATGTTCACACATAGGAAAGTGGCTACAGTTGTTCCAATTCCAAAGTCAAAAAATATCTCCATCGGATCGAACTATCGCCCAACCTCTCTTTTATCTTGCCTCTCAAAGGTGTTGGAAAAGATTATAACATCTAGATTATCTTGGTTTCTTGAGTCCAAGAATCTGATAACAAAGCAACAAGTTGGTTTCAAGCGGGGTAGAGGGTGCATCGACGCTCTGTTACATATTGATTATTTTACAAGCAAAGCAATTTCCGAACGAAACCATGTAACTATTCTTTCAATTGATTTCGAAAAAGCATTTGACAGAGTTGGTCTTCATGTTATTTTAAGACTCTTGAAATCATGGAATGTTGGACCCAAACTCTTCAACTACATCAAATCATTCATGTCGCATCGGCGGTTCAAAGTTAGAATCAACAATCATGTCTCTGATTCCTTTCCGCTAATGAATGGCATTCCGCAAGGATCTCCTCTTTCTATCACGCTTTTCCAAATCGCCTTCAACGAAATTAGCAAAATTCTTTGTCGTGTACCAAGTGTGGAACATTGCCTCTACGCAGACGATGTATACATTTTTACAAAAGAAAAAGATAGCACGAAGGCAATCAATCGAATCTATTGGACGAGAGATCTCCGCATGAGCAAACTCGTCGGGGGCTAAAATTTCCAAACAAAAATCTAAAAAAATGCACATTTGTCGAAAGCAGATTTGCGATGCAGGAAACCTACTGATGCATATTAATAACTTACCAGTACTAAATGTGCAGACGCTCCATGTTCTCGGGCTCACGTTTTCCAACAATTACCGTTGGAAAGCACACTGTCTTCGGTTAAAAAACTCTATTTTAACAAGGGTGAATTTCATACAGTACGTTGCTTGGAGAAGCCATGCGCATATTAACACTATTGCTTATCTTACCAAAATGCTTGTGTTAAGCAAGATTGACTATGCTTTGATAATTTATGGCAATAGCTGCAAATCTAATATCAACATCCTTAAACTGGTTTACCACAAAGCAGTCAGAGCAAGTTGTTATGCTTTTCGGACGACGCCCATAAATAATATTATAATCGAAACTGGTCTCCCAACTTAAGAAAATAGACTTTATGAGTTACAAGCCAAAATAGTCCCTAAGCTTCTTAATTCAAACAAATCTATTCTCGGTGATGACGTGAGAAAGATTATTATTGCGAAGAAAATTCCAAAGTCACCATCTGCAATTGACTATTGTTTGTACGTCGTAAAAGAATTGAACATTCCCTTAAAAATTTCCCGCTCTTTTGGTGTTAAACCTCCATGGATTTTGAAAGACTGCTCTTTTGACATCTCGCTGTCTATGCACAAGAAAAAAATACATCAAACTACGTCTTCAGGAATCTAATAGCTGAAAAAACCCAAATATTGCAAAGCAGTGGTTGGAATCTTTTATACACAGACGGCTCAAAATCTGCTGGTCTGCCTCCTGCTTGTACCGTGGTTGATGCTACAGGACGAGTTCTTCTCAACCACATATTTCACGAAAGTACTTCAACTTTCACAACCGAAGCCATCCTTCATGCTGCGAACCTTTCCCATAAAAACAAACTCTAAACCGTCATTGTTACCGACAGTTTCTCTGTATTACAAGCTATTCGGAATCCTTTGACTTCGAGATGGAGCACCACCAACAAATTAAGGAAGATAATTACAACACCCGAGGGAAAAATTAAAATGTTATGGGTACCAAGTCATACGGTTTATTGGGAAATGAGCAGGCTGATCGAGCGGCAAAGCATACTGCTTTTGCTCCTCTAATTATGGATGATGTCATGGAAAAGTTAGATCTTCAAAGATACATTGGAAGAAAAGTTAAAGAGAAAATTGCAGAAGAAAATTTACAATACCATCTTCAACCCTCCATTAACCCTCAATTAACTCCACCTCTATATCCAACAAATGTTGAGAAAACCAAGATCCAAACATTCTCGAGAATTCGCCTTGATCATACAATTGCAACTCACCAATGGATCTTGAAGAAGTCTTCCTCCCCAATCAGCAGTTGTGGACAAACTCTCACCATAAAGCACATTCTCTGCGACTGCCTTAACTTTTGCTTGGCTAGAAGTATTGCATTTGGAACCCTTTGGACATTCTACAATCAGTTTCAGAACAGAACATCAATTCAATATATTACTTTTTTAATACCACTAAGCTCATTATCTAATATCCATTTATTTAAATTAGAGCCGATACCCTGTGTTGCTAGTGCTCAATGTCTTTTTTTTAGTCTAAGAATTTAGTTCATTAGTCTAAAATTATAATAATAATAATAATATGTTCACACTTACATATACAAACTCATTCACATGCCGATAATTCAACGGAATACATATTAAAATTGAAAAGTTAAGGGTTTACACATTTACACAACTACTTACATAAACGTACATGTGTACATACGTACATGAAATCGTTTAATGTTATCAAACCCTCTCTTTACCTCTTTGACGAACCCCTCTATTTATAAGAATATTATTTGTTGACATCATTAGCACGGTCTTCTTCCAATACAAATTTTTGATGCAGCGACTATCTTTTTCGCCAATAGCA